TGTTCCCAAGCTTTGTCGTGCACAAGGGATATGCTACACGACTCTTCAGCGCTTCCACTTGATGGGATTTCCCACCCGGACATGTTCCTGGCGTGGAGCTGCCATCGGAATGCAGGGGCCAGCCACTGCGCACAGAGCTCAGGTCCTGCGGCCCTGCAGGTTTGGGGAGTTTTAGGGCTCTCCTGCACAACTGACTACACAAATTCATGGACCAGCTGGAGCTATCAGCACAAGGAAAGGACTATTTCCACAAACTAAGGTGTTAAGCTGTGGGAATGAATTAAAGCCTCTGAAACTGGACCTTATACTTTCCCACAGAGCTAGCACACCATGCTTCTTTAAAAAGCATTATTAAATAATAATTTTGTACGCTGAACTTTCTAATTTTCAAAATTTCCATGTTTTTAACATGAGCTTTCCTGACCTCTTTACTAAGGTAACAATGAAATCAGACAATCCATTAACTAGGCGCCAGTTTTGCCACACGGGCCGACTGTACAACCAGGAGCTGCTCAGCTGTCTCCACCTGGAGACTCCTTCCATACAAGAACTAAGGACCACCCAAAGAAACAGGCTCAAGATGGACAACAAGGAGTTAGCTCTTTCCACAGCAGGCAGTTAAGCTGTGGAGCACCTTGCCCAAGAACGTGTGTGCTAGCCCTACCCATGCATGCCTTCCCAGGCTTCCAGCTACGGTTAGTGGCACAACAGGAGGCTGGACAGGCCCTGGGTTTGCTGTGACACGGCCGCTCTCAAGTGCTTCTGTTCCGCCTGGACAGTTATCCTGTGCAAAGCCCTGACGTGCACCTGCAGGGTAACTGCACAGACGTTCCCGTGCTGTCATGCACAGGTGGACATCCTGCATGAAAACACGATCCACAGGCTGGGAAGCCTGGCTCAAACACTACCCTTCGGTAAAGCAAGGCCATGAAGGACGTGTTTTGTTTAAACCATGCTTTAACTAGTCCGGACTTCCCCCAAATCCAAAAAAAACATGGCCCTGGGCAGAACAGGGTAAATTGGTGAAAGCAGGACTATCTGAAGGGTGTTTTTTAACTTGGAACACAGTTTGAGGAATCATATATGGACTCTGTAGCTACAAAATTCAGCTCTGGGACATTCAGGGGGTGTGCACAGCCTCGCCTCTGCAGCCCAAGAGCCACTGATCGGCCTGGGCTCAGCCTACCAACACAAGGAGTAACTTGCACTCTTGGTGCCTTCAGTGACAGCAGCGGGTACGTAACACCAGGGTGAGTCAAGCCCATGCTGCAGAAAAGCTCACTCTCTACCCCTAGAAATGATATTTCAAGAGCTCAGTAAATGGGAGCTTCCTCTGTTTTATATCTGTATTGATATACATCAATAAAATCAGGTGTGAGGACTTAATGACCTGAAGAGAGGAATGTTTATTTGGGAATACAGGTATCAACATAAGAAACAGCTCCTAAACACACCCTTCAGCTGCATTGTCGTTACAAAGAATTCAGTAACCGCGCAGAACTCTGTTTGCAGCTGCTAAAGCATTTTTCTGGTGGATGTTACTCTGTTCAAATTAGACGCAAGTTAGTTTCTTCTACCTCCGCTTTTCTAAACATGGACCATTTACTTTTTACACCTGGTTAGAGGAAAAAAAAAAACTGTATTGCTCTCAGGCTCTTCTCATGATCTAGACACAAGTTTAAGCCACTTGAACTCAAATGTTTTGAATCTCTCTGAAAAAATCCTTATGAAACACCTTCCGCTGCTTCTGCACCTCTGCACTTATTCCTAGCTGCAGAAGAAACAAATCAATGGAAAGCACCTAAGCCTTTCCCAGTGGGATCCAGCTGCGCAGGCCAAGGAAGCAGGAAACACTTTCTCTTTCAATCTCTTGCTGCCTGGGCTTTTTTTAACCTTACAGAAATTGCTTGGGGCTAAGGGAACGGGAAATCAACCTGAAAAATATAAACAGGGGGCGGGGGGGTGTGCGCAAGCATAAAATGAGGGCATAGAAAATGATTACAGAAATCAAGGGCACGGACAGATTTCCCGTGTATCCTCCCATCACATCTCATCAGTGGCCGTTCAGTACAGAAGGAAGACAGGATTGATAAACCAGTGGACTTGTTTGCAAACGCATCCTTGCAAAACGATGCCCCTTGTTTAACACATCACACACACACACACTCTGACCGAGACCTTGAGGTTGAGCACCTACCAGCCAGCGGTGAACTCCACGTGAGCATCAAAAAATCCAGTGATCTGGCCAGTGGCAGCTTTCCAGCCTTCAATACGAGCGCGGATAAGGCCTTCCCTCTTCTGGTTGCGCACCACCTTCACGAGCCCCCGGTATCGTTTATTGACGTATTCTTCTAACGGCGCCTTCAGTTCCTCTAGAGAAGAAGTGCCAGAAAAGCCATTGAAAAGGTGCAACAGTTTTCACCTAAAATAAACCCACTTCCTCGATGGATACGAGCATAACTTACTGGAGCCACACATCTCTCAACACCACTGGGAGGGATGTAATTATTTAGGGTCAATCAATATGGATTTGCTAAAGACCACCTGATGGTGGACTGACTGCAACACTTAGAAAAGAAATTCAAGGTTGACAAACACATTGCTGTTGGACAACTAAGGAGCCCATCTTTAGAGGCAAAGGGCAGCAAGAGGCCAGCCAGATACCCAGCCTTGCAATACCTGGGTATCACCTCGCTGAAAGACAAGAACAGAAAGTAGTCACCTGTGGATACCAAACACCAGCGCTCTGCGTTTCTGATGGAGATTTTAACCGAATGGATTGCCAGAAATGCTGCAAAATCCATCTGAAGTAACTTAAACTGCATCAAACTGCGTATGAGCTTCACTGTCCTTTTTATTCAGCCTCACTACTAGAGCCTTGGAATTTGCTGTATCTTTTCCAAGCTTTACCACTAGAAAAGTTGAAATTCCCCCTGCTTTTATGATAGGATGAAAGAGATTTTCGGCTTCATTCAGAAGATGCTCATACCATGTATCTTTTATTCATTGGAAACCGCAGATCATTTAATTATGTTGTCTAAGCATGTGTATGTGCTGCGACTGAGAACATAATGGATCTGTCAGTCTGCAGTCATTACCGGCATTAAACTTTCTGATAGTTGCAAGTATTGAGTATAAAAGACACACAGGACTTTGAACGTGGAAACACGGGTAAGGTTACAAGAAGGGGTAAGTACTAGTATGTTTTTTCAGCAATTTGGAAAAGTGCTAGTGCTCCGCCAGAAACCTGAGTCCTTTTACTTCCTGGTGCACCAGTTAAGTGCACAAAGATCTACTGATGAGATGTGCTCCATAAAAGCTAAACAATACCATGTGTACCAACATGGACTCTTACCACGACGAAAGCAGTTCCTGAGAAGGTCTTTTATCCCTATGAGGCTCCAGGAGAGCAGAAAATTAAGATATGGTCTGTGACCCCAAAAAGGTCACCATTGATATAATCCACAGGGGAAAATACTTGAGACCTACAATGAGTACACATGGGTTCCTATGTGAAGGAATTACGGCGATGGAGAGCAAAAGAGTAAATACCAAGTCCCATCTGCTGGGCTCAGCCCAAGAAATCATCAAAGGAAAAGGGATTATCTGTTCCCTTCCCTTCCACGCCTTCTTCCAAGCACATAAAATGTGCTTTCTTGAGGCTGCCTTTCTGGGATGGTTCCCCTCACATATCAATTTCCCAAAAGTCTCATTTCTCTTTTATGCTGAAGTGGGAATAAAAAGAATAAAGCAAATGAGCCCCTTCCTCAATTCAAAGCATCTGCATCACATACATACATAACTCAGCAACTTCCATTTCATGCTGAGCCACTCGGAGAAAAACCAATATTTTATGGAGACAACAACTCTGCAGAATGGTTTTAAGGAGACAGAGACACAGATTTTTTGACAGATGAAACCCCACAAGCATAGCATCGGCATCTCACATGGTTTGTCAGAAGGTAAGTCATTAATGCTGCAGAGCACAGCATCACAGGTTAGACTGAACAATTTAAACAACTTTCAAATTGGAGTTTTAATCTCAGTTGAAGGAAAACAGGAAAAATCTTCATGGGAATTGTTCAAGCAGCTCAAAGTGGAAACAGGGAGGAATCGTAACGTCATGTCTCAAACGCAGTGAGGGGTGAAGCCCCAGAGATTCCCACGCCCGCTGTGCTGTGTCACACACGGCTTGGCAGAAACTCCCCAAGGAGCCACAGCCACGTCCTCCTGCTTTCTGAAAGGATGCTGGGTGCCAACAGGTGAAGAACCGATCTGCAGAGAGCACAAAGGCCAGTACGGCACACCCGTGCGCCTGCGAGATGGCACGAGGTGACCACGGAGAGCCGGTGGAGAAGATGCTCATGATTAGCGTCATTCTAACCCAGCACCACATTCATAAGCAGAGGCCAGAGTGCCCCTCTCCTGCCCATGGCGCGTGCTACGAGCATCCCTAATGGGCTGCTACTCTTGAGACAAAAGCATTAACCTGACATGGGAAACATGGTTCCAGACCCCCTCTCTGCCAAAGGCTCCCTGTACAACTTGCGCAGAGTTCCAGGCTTTGCTCCCTGCCTTCCCTCCCAGGCTGGCTCAGCCCACAGCACGCACCTTTTGGGCGAGAATTCACTTTTCTTACGTGCCTGTGCAAGCCCTAACAAAGAGCATGGCTGCACATCTGTGCTGGCCTTTGCCAGTCTCTCGCCCTTCTGAGCTGGTTTGCAGCTCTGCAGGAGGAGGGGATGGTGCACAGCGGCTGCTGAGCGCTATTTGGTATGATGAGCCACATACTTGGCACTCAGCTGGGCGTCCAGCCAGCCGGCACAGCGATGGGGTGGGCTTTGCATTTCATTTCTCAGCACATCCAGAAGTGCAGGTGTGAAAAATCCAGTATTAGGTAACAAAAATGAACTGCCAGTCTTCAGGATTGCTCTGCAAAACTCCCGTTCAAGTATCAAGCGAGCTTTGGCCCAGGTCTCCCCTTGCCAACGAGCAGGACTGACGTGGCCACGTCGAAAAGCATCAGTGGAAACCCCAGCACCGGCACAGCCGTGCTGTCAGAGCTCCCCTGGTCCTGCAGATGCTGATCCTGCGGGACCAGACGTGCTCAGCTCCCTCCACGTGAACTCCGGCGGGCTGGAAATCATAACTCAGTCACAAATCTAATCTTAATCCAAGTCATTTGAAGTCATTCCTAATTTTACCCTGCGTTTTCCTTCACTCAGCAGTGGCTTCATTGAGTGCCATTAGCGTAACAAGAAAACAACTGGCGGTGGCTCTGACGTGTGCTGTCAGAACGCTTGGCTCCAGGCTGAGCATGCAGAGAGCTGTTGCATTAAGGTCGGTAGCAGCAAAGCTTTTCGTCTGTCATATTAACTTAAGAAATGTTTCATCCCCAACTGTTGTACCTTTGCAGCACGTCCCAGAGCTGTAATAGGAGGGTTGGGAGGTCTGAAGTGGTATGCCAGCAATTAAATGACTTGCACTAATGGACAATAGCAGATACTCTCGCTTAAGGGAGTCAGCTTTCACGCAAACTGGTGACCTGGCCTTTGGATCTGCTATTTTCAGGACTTCATGCAAACTACAGCAGGGGAGAAAGCATCTCGCAGCTCAGATAAGTTGCTGCCATTCTCCTCCCCTCTGCCTTGCACAGGGCCATAGCAGTGCTTTCGCCCCTTCAGCTCATTGCTGAAAATGAGAACATCCACCAGACACTGAGCCGATGATAATTTTAGCATGATTACCAGCCCAGTGTTCATAAACTGAAACTCTGGATGCAAAGTAATGGCAAAGTCAGGAGCCAAGACGGGAGCAGAGCAGCGGCCCCCCAGCTCACCTTCATCCTCCCTAACGAAAGGAGCACTCATTTGGGCCACGCACTCGTGAGGTACCTGAGTGGGTGGATCTACACCACCAGGGACCGGACCCAAACTAAGCACCGCCAAGGAA